CGGACAACTTCTGCCCCCCCGTTCCACGCAAGTGGATCTCCACAAGGCTCCACGGTCTGCTAGCGGGATGGGCGGGTTAACCGCCCCCGAGGGGGTCCGGGAGACGAGGCTTTGACAGAAGCGGTCCGTTGCGCCGCCTAGTTTGAAGTTGGGGGGGCGATGCCGCGGGGATCGATTGCGCGTCCGCCCGCGCGCAAGCTACCTGCGGATGTAGGTACATCGGCGCCGTCTTATTCATGCAGCCTGCCGCGTCTTATCCATGATCTGGTGCAGGAGCAGTTGGAGGAGGAGGGGGGGGAGGACGAGGAGGTAAAGGCGGAGGAGGAGGAGGAGGAGGAGGAGGAGGAGGAGGAGGAGGAGGAGGAGGAGCAGCAGGACGAGGAGGACGATGATGATGATGAGGAGGAGGAGGAGGAGCAGCAGGACGAGGAGGAGGAGGAGGACCAGGATGGCCAGGAGGAGGAGGACGATGGGGAGGGGGATGCCAGGGTGGTGCTGCTTGAGAAGGTGCGCCAGCAGGTGCTTGTTGCGGAGGACTGAGGAGGATGAGGTGGTGGGCGCCAAGGTGGATGGAGCGGGATGTCCTCCTCGCGGCCTCCGGGCGTGACCCGCGGTTCTCCGCCGGGACATTGCATCGGGGAGTCCCCATTCCACGCTGTTGCCTGTGGTTTGAAATTTGTGGCAACCCTGCTCTCATGACATGCATCTCACCCTTATGATGGGGGGGGCACGGCTCGCATGCAGCTCACAGCGCCCCGGGGTCATCTTATGTTGCTCATTTATTGGGGGCGGCGAAGAGGGCAGTGATGACCAGGGGGGGGGGGGGGCGATATCATGGTGTGGGCCATGATATTCCCTCAGATTTCATGGCGCCTCTTCTTATTTCATTGCGTCCCTGGCCCCCCCTTGGGCCGCGAACGTGCCGCCGGCCCCTCTTGGACGCCCCCTTCTTGGCCGCCCCCAAATGTAAAACTCCGGCCACGTGCCGATCCGCCGCCGCCTCCCGACCCGCTCCGCTCTGCACCTCCTGCTCCCCGCGGCTCCTGCTCCCGCCGGATGCCCCTCCCCTCCTCGGGGGCACCCCCCGTGCAGGACCACGGCCGATGCGCCACTGGCGAAGGTCAATGGTCTCGGCGATGACCATCTGGTCTCGCGGCAGCGCAGCGCGCTCTGCGTGCCGACGCACGTCGACGCGCAGGACGCTCTGCGTGCCGATGCGCCTCGGCTCGCAGCGAGTCCGCGCAGCGGCGGCGGGCGCAAATCTTTTGGCACTTCATCGGGTTGTCGGAGCGGCTCTGCTCTGTTTTGCTCCCGCTCCTCCTGCCCCTGCTGCTGCTGCCACTGGTGATCCCTTCCGCCGCCCGCAGACTTCCCCCTTCCGAAACCAATCGGACGCCCTAAGTAAGTCACCCAGAGGCGACCATCATCCCTCCTCCCTCCTCTTTCCCCTGCCCTCCCTTTCATCCTTTCTTGACGTTCGGCTAACATGAGGCATGGCCTGTTGCGTTATTCAAGGATGCCAAAACATCGCCCGCTTAGGCGAAATAGTAAACACATTCGGCTGCGGACCGGTGCAAGAACGGCACTTCAAACGAAAGCCGATCCCCCCAGGCATCTTCATGACGCACATCCCCCTCCAATTTGCCACACTTTTAGAGAGCAACGTTCATCGCTACACGGCACGGCAAACAGCAAGTCATGGCGTAACAGGACATCCGAGACGACAAACCTCTTCGCGACAGGGCACTGTGGATGGAGTGCGCTAGGACGGTCTCGACACGCTCCGGCTGGCGTTAGAGTCCGAGTGGGCCCGCCCAGACGGGCAGTCGATCGGATGTTCGATATGCCAACTTGCCGAGTCCAGTCGGACCCAAATAAGGCCGACCATGACGGTACCGATAGGCTAGGGCTGACCCGTGGCCTCTGGCCACGACCAGCGCACATGCGGCTGCTCGACGGACCTCCAGCGGAAACGCGGCCACACTTCGCTGCGAGTCGTAACCTGCGGGCTCCCACCCACGCATCTCCCATGCCCCCTCGCGCTTCGCCGCCGCACGATCGCCACAAACAGGTGGCATCAGTTGCGTGCGACTCTTGACTACCGAGCTGCCGCACGCGGCTTCGGAAGGTGCCGGCCTATCTAAGGAACCCCAGCCTTACCCGCCGTCACGATTGGAAGAGCGAATATGCTGTGATGCCCGCACGCGAAAGCGACCGCATGCACTACAAGGAGGAGAGTGATAGTTTCGAAGTGGCAAAACCTACACTCCTGAAGAGGCTGGCCGAATGCCAATGCGGAGGTAATGGAGGGTGGGTGGGTCGGAGGGCCCCCCAATCTTGGAAACGGGGCCTGAGGGAAGCGGGTCCTTGACCCAGAGGGCCTTCCTCGAGGACCAGTTCTGCGGCCGAAGTGCAACTCATAAGCCCGCACCGGCGCGCCCCTACGTGAACACTTTCGGCTACCGGCTGGCGCTGCGAGCGCTGATCGGGCACCTGCCAGCACTGCACCTGCAAACGGAGCAGAGAGCAGCGAACGCCCCTTCCCAGTAGACCTGGGCTGGCACGGAAACGGAAAGAGCGCTTCAGAAACAGAAACCGAAATTACTCACATCACCGTTCGTATCGGGAGCCTTGGCGTTGAGAGCTTGTTACGTCACCCCTCGCTCTTGGGAGCCTTGGTGTTCAGAGATTGTTGCGTTGCCGCACGTTCCTGAGCCTTGGCAGGGCCTTGGTGTCAGGAACTTGTTACGTCACCGCTCTCTGCTGGGAGCCTTGCTCTTGCCAGCTTGTTTACGTCACCGTTCGCTCTTGGGAGCCTTGGTGTGAAGAGCTTTATGCGGTACCGATCGCTCTCTCTTTGGCGTCTTTGGGCCTTCTTGGGAGTCCTATTGGGGCCCTTGTCGGGCCCTTTTGGAGGCCTCTTGGGAACCTCTTGGGGGCCTCTTGGGGCTTCTTGGGGGGCTGGGGGGGCCTCCAGGGAGCGTCTTGGGGCGAAAGGCTAGACTTTCGGGTTCGTGGTCCCCCTTCTGGGGCCGTCTTGGGGCCCTCTTGGGCTGTCTTGGGCGCCTCTGGGGCCGTCTTGGCGCCCTCTTGGGCTGTTTTGGGGGCCTCTTGGGAGCCTCTGGGGCCGTCTTGGGGCGGTATTGGGGGCATCTGGGGCCGTCTTCAACGCCGTGGAAGCCGAAAAGCCGTGTATGCAACAAATGTACGCTTTCCCATTGGAAATCAATGATTTTCGCCTCCCGGTGGCCTCGTGAGACGCCTCTGGGGGCCTCTTGGGGCTTCTTGGGGGGCTCTGGGGACTTCCCGGGAGCGTCTTGGGGCGAAAGGCTAGATTGTTCCGTTCGTGGTCCCCCTCTTGGGGCCGTCTTGGGGCCCTCTGGGGCCGTTTTGAGCGCCTCTTGGGCCGTCTTGGGGCCCTCTTGGGCTGTTTTCGGGGCCTCTTGGGAGCCTCTTGGGCCGTCTTGGGGCGGTCTTGGGGGCCTCTGGGGCCGCCTTCAACGCCGTGAAAGCCGACAAAGCCCATATGCTAAAAATATACGTATTCCTCGGGAAGATCGATGATTTGGGCCTCTTGGGGCCCTCTTGGGACGCTCCTTGGGCGTCTCTTGGGGGCCTCTTGGGGGCCTCTTGGGCCGTCTTGGGCGGTCTTGGGCTCTCTTGGAGCGCTCTTGGGCCGTTTTGGGGGGGAACCCGAAAAGCATGCAAAAAGCTAAGGGAAAACCCCCCAAACGGCAATTGACACCCATATGGGCACGCTACCCCCCTCCCCTGGAACCCCTCCCTTTAGGGCTTCGCCCACACCAGAACGTCATCACTCGTACCTCGCTCTTTCGGGCACCTGCCAGCACTGCACCTTCAAACGGAGCAGAGAGCAGCGAACGCCCCTTCCCGGTAGACCTGGGATCCAAGAGACGAGAGCATGGAATTTGGAGCGGGTTTCAGTCCTCCCCCGTCCCGTGCCTTGGGATCGAAAAGCGTATTGCCTTCGAGAGTTCTGGGTTTTTCTTTCCCCTCCCCCTCCGCCGCCTCTTCTTCCTCACGTCAGGAATTCTGTGCTTCTTCCTCCCCTCTCGTTCTCCTCCTGTTCCTCCCGTTGCTCCTCTTCCTCTTCTTCCCGGTGCCTATTCCCACTTCTCCTCCTCCTGCTCCTCCTCCTCCTGCTCCTCCTCCTGCTCCTCCTCCTGCTCCTCCTCCTCCTCCTCCTCCTCCTCCTCCTCCTGCTCCTCCTCCTCCTCCTCCTCCTCCTCCTGCTCCTCCTCCTCCTCCTCCTCCTGCTCCTCCTCCTCCTCCTCCCTCCTCCTCCTCCTCCCTCCTCCTCCTCCTCCTCCTCTTCCCTCCTCCTCCTCTCCTCCTCCTCCTCCTCCTCCTCCTCCTCCTCCTCCCTCCTCCTCCTCCTCCTCCTCCTCCCCCCTTCTCGCTCCGGGCCGCCCCCCCCCCGGTCGTGACCGGCTAACGTCCGGCCGCGGCCGCCAGGCGCAGCGCTGACGCGGCCACGGCACAGAAATCCCGCAGCGCTGCCTTGCCGCCGCCGCCGCCGCCGCCGACGACGACGACGACGCCGCTGGCGACGACGACGACGACGACGTCGGCGTTGGTGTGAGGATCGAAGCTCGAGGGCCGATTTTCTACGCCTCTGATATTTTGTGAGCCCCCAGGGGGTCTCTGGAGTGTCTTCCAGGGGCTTCTCGAAACTTCGGAGGGTTCCAGACGATGTCCGTCGGTCCGTCGGTCCGTCGGTCCGCCGTCGCCGTCGTCGTCGTCGTCCTCCTCCTTCTCCTCCTTCCTCTCCTCCCCCTCCTCCTTCTTCCCCTCATATCTCATCCTTGCCCCTTCGATGTGCGCAGCTCGCTCCCCTTGTCCGACAGGGCATAACAAGATGAGGTCTTTTTGGGAGCGCCAGATCCGCTATGACACGCGCCAACGACCAGTGAGAAAATCAGCACAATACGAAGCGATGGGTGGGATGGGTCGAATGTAGGTGCCTCCTCCACCGCGAGGTCCGCCGCATGGAGTCGGCCGGCATCCCGCTGAACGCCGAGGACCGGGGGGGAGAGGGGGCGAGAGAGAGAAATGTGGAAAGCGACTGGAAGGGAGGGAGGGAGATTGAGGGAGGGAGATTGAGGGGAGCTGGAGGTGGAGGGGAAGTGGGGGGGAGATGGAGAGGAGGTAGAAGGGGAGGAAGGGATGGAGGGAGAGGGAGGGATGGAGGGGGAGGGAGGCAAGGGGAGAATGAGAGAAGGAGGAAGGAGGGGAGTGGAGAGCGAGGGAGGGTGTGAGAGAGAGAGAGAGAGATAGACAGAGACCAGGCGCAAGCGTGATGACAAGCTTGAAAAAGAAACATGCCAACTTCGGGGACTCAGACGGAGTCACCCGAGACGCTGGCTTCGAGAAGGCCAGCGAGCTCTTCTCAGAAGGCCGAGTGGGCCTGGGCGTCAAGAAGCTGCGTGCGCTCTTGCAACGTTCCGCCCCGCCCCACCTCCACCTTCCCCTTCCGAAGGATTGAGAGGGGGAGGTGGCGGCAACTGAACCTAACACGACATCCTTCCTCGCCCGCTGCAGCACTGGCGGGCCAAGGATGGCGCCCGCCATGCAGTGGCAGCCTCGCAACATCTTTTGCTGGCTAGGCGTCTGTTGGCCAGGAGGCATTGCTCGGATAAGCCACGGGCGTGCTGGACAGCGTAAGCCCCGCAAAACGAACAGAAGCATACTGGCCCAGCACGCGTAAGCGCGTGTTGGCCAGACCCACCCTCCTTCTGCTTCTTCCCTCCTGACTTTCTCATTGTTTCGTTTTCGAGTGGCTTTCGGACGTGCGCGTGTGGGGAGACATACGCACGGCTGAAAGGACGTCGTTGCTGAAGTAGCGTCTCCTGGTTCACCAGAGAGAGGGAAGCAAGAGGGGAAGACTTCTGCTTCGGGCCGGCCGCAGACCTTTCAATGTCAGTGGGCCTTCCACGCGGCCAGCCGGAGCGTCAGCGTGGTGCGGCCTTTGTCCCTCTCTGGTCCGTTCGCGGGCGTCTTTGGCCCCTTTTCAATCGAGTTCGGCAACGACAGCAAATGGCAACCAAGTAAAAATAGCCATGACTACAAAACGGCGTGTTTCTTATTTGTTTTCAGACTCTCCTGCTCTCCCTCTGCCGTCCTCCTCCCTGGCCTCCACGGTTACTCTGCACGAGCAGTGCTCCCTTCCTCCGTGGCCATTTCCAGCCGTGGCGTGGCCTCGTCCGCGCATGTCTCCTCTTCACATCGGAGTTCAGTTTTTGATGTCGTTTTTTTTTTTTTTTTTTTTTTTTTTTTTTTTATTGTTTTTCCTTTTTGGATGGCGTCGGTCCTTCACAGTCGGTGCTCCCACAGCAGCATTGGTCGTAGATCAAGACCGATGCTTTGCTCACGTCGTTCAGACTGGCGCACTTGCCCGAGCGCGGGCCGCACAATTTGACCCGAATTCTTGCCTGTCGTTGCCGCCCCATCTTTTCTACTACTCCGTTTAGCCCCGATCATCTTGTGCCTTCGCCTCCTGCTCGTGCTCGCGCTCCTGCTTCTCATCCCTGCCTTCCTCCTCCTCCTCCTCCTCCTGCTCCTCCTCCTCGTCCTCCTCCTCCTGCTCCTCCTCCTCCTGCTCCTGCCCCTCCTCCTCCTGCAATTCTAGACGCTTTGCGTAACCTCACCAACTTCAGCTTCTCCCGTCAGCCTGCCGCTGTCTGAGTGGGCCGGCCGGCCTGCGCCTGTCTTAGCTAATTCGCCTAGTTCGCGTCCCGGACTTTGCTTTCGCCGCCTGACCGTCGTCTCGTGGCCGCGACCAAAAAAGTAACCTCACCAGCCTCGCCACGGCGATACCGCCCAGCGGCCCCTGCGCCGCACAAAGGTGCCGCTTGGGCTCCTCCCTCTCTTGCTGCATGGTGTGCGCGGGCCGTCCCCGTCGGTCGCCTGCCCGTCCTCTGCTGCCCTCTCGCCGCCACGGCCCCTCCGCTATCGCGGCTCTCGGCTTGCGGCAGCCCCCCACGCCCGCCTATGGTCTACCGCCTCGGCTCGCCTTTCGCCGCGCGTTCCCGTTGCCTCCCGGGCGAGGTCGTCATGCTCCAGCTGGACGCCTCCATGTTGCGCCTCGGGGCCCTCGCTCGCCGGGATCGACCCCTGCGTGGTGGTGCCCGTCCACCAGCCTTTCGTGGTGTCTGGCGATCCGGACTCTGATCCGTCGAGCGCCTTCATGTGAACTGGTTGACGGCTGGTACGCGTGCAGTGCGCCCACTACTCCCGCGACGGTGTGCCCGTTGGTTCATGACACCTGCTCTTCGTTGTGCGCCTTCTCTTTGGCATGCTCGCGGAGTCGTTCAACCTGAATTCCCCCCCGCCGTTTTGGCGTTGCAACAGGCTGGCGTCTCCCCCCCCCAGTCGAAGGCGCACTTCTGAACGGCATCGAGACCCGCCTCTTGTCGTCTCCTCCCCGCTGTTCTCCCGTTGTCTCTCTCTCCCTCTCTCTCTCTCTCTTTCTCTCTCCCTCTTGCGCAATTTGGGGCGTAGCTCGCGTGTGACGGATTTCTGACGGCGTTCGGCACTTCCGTCACGCTTGCGATCAAAAATAGCCTCACCAGCCCATCCAGAAACGATGCATAGACGAGTTGCCCTTATCAGGGAAGCTGGGGAAAATGCAGTGGAATAGTGGACTGGGTGGCGTCGTACCCTAGGGGGGGGAGGATGGAGGAGGCATCGGAGGAGGAGGAGGAGGAGGAGGAGGAGGAGGAGGAGGAGGAGGAGGAGGAGGAGGAGGAGGAGGAGGAGGAGGAGGAGGAGGAGGAGGAGGAGAAGGAGCAGGGGGAGGGGGAGGAGGAGGAGGCGAGATAGGGAGAAGGGGGGGGTAAAGAGGTATAGAAGGACGGAGGAACAGGCGGAACTTCTTGGAGTCTTTTTCGGGCGTCTTGTCCCGGAGGCCTCTTGCCGCGTTTTGGGTGCCTCTAGGTGGCCTCTTGGGGCCTCTTGGGGCTCCCTGGGGAGCCTATTGGGGCCTCCTGGGCACCTCTTGGAGCCGTCATGCGGCACCCTCGGGGGTTTCGGGGGCCATCTTGTGGCCATCTTGGAAGAGATCGAACAAAGGAGGGGCTGTAGTACATTAGAGCCCCCCTCCCCCAGGAGGCCAACATGTGGCCAACACACTTCTTGGTACAATCGATGATTTTGGCCTTCTCGTCGAGAACATTTTCAACAATCAGCGGTTTTGGCCTTTTTGTCGAGGCCTGGTGGGGCGTCTGGGGTCCCTCCAGGGGGTCTTGGGTGCCTCCGGGTCTCTTGGGAGCCTCTTGGGAGCATCTTGGGTGCACCTTGGGGGCCACGTGGGGCCTGCTGGGCACCCCTTGGGGCTTTCTTGGGGCACCCTTCGGAGGCCATCTTGATGAAGGTCGAGCAACAGGAGGGGCTGTAGTGCATCAGGGCTTCCCCCCGAGAGGCCAACATGTGGCCAACACATCTTTTGTACAATCCATGATTGTGGCTTCCTTGCCGAGGCCGTTTGGGACGCTCTAGCCCCTTGTGCCCCGCCCCCTCCAGAACCAGGGGTACGGGGTAGGGGGAGGGGTCAAGGCACCCTCGCCGCCCGCAAACCGTCTCGCTCGCTCCCACCCGCCCCCCGACACAGAAGTAGCACCCGAACAGCAGCGTTTTCAGCGGTAGTCTTTGAATTGGCAGCCAATGGGAACCAACACAGACCCCATGTGCATGTGTGCTACGTTGGGTGTGCGCCAGGCGTGCCAGGCGTGCCCCGCGCGCCGGGTGCGCCAGGCATCCATGTGGCCAAAGCGTTCCGGGCACGCCTGGTGCGCCAGATGCGCCACGGACGCCACGTGCGCCACGTGTGTCGCATGCTCCAGCCGCGCCAAATGCGCCACGTTCGGAGCACGCGCAGAGTGCGCCAGGTGCGCCTGCACACGTGGCAGTACAAGTCGGGACACGTGTCGGCCCCCACCACCCTTGTCCAAAACCAGTGCGCAATCGCGGCGGGGTGACCATCGTGGTGTCTGGATGGCCTGCACATAGCCGGCAATATGCCAGCTCCCTCGCCGTCCCAGTCAAAAACCATTGCAGAGTGATCGCAGGGGGCCCGCGCATGATCCGGATTTTGTCTCGAAGCGCGTGTTCTTTTTCAGGCGTGCTGGCCCTGAGTACAGCAGGCAATATGCGGGCACCCCCCGCCGTCCACGTTAACAAATAGTGCAAAGTGCTCTCGGCCTCCCGGTCATGACCTAAGATCTTGCCCCAAGTGGTTTTGCGTTTTTTTTGAGTGGGAAGGTGGGGGTGCCCTCATTGGTGCTGGTTGGCTGTCAGTCGCCTGGGGGAGGGGGTGTTTATCAATATGGAACAATGATAAGCCCCTCCCCGAAGAAGAACACTACTACACATGATAAGAAGAAGGGGGTTGGAATATTACGCGCTCGAAACCATTCACGCCATCAAGGGCTGGTGGGATTTCCGACAGCTCCCTTATTTGAATGCGCAGCAACATATGGGGCAGGTTCTGCAACTGCCATTCGGGCATCGAGTCCCTCTAGGACATTTTTCAGTCGGCAGATAGACAAGGACGCAACGCAATGGCATGGGACGGAATGGGTGAGATCACGCAAGCACATCCACCTTTCCCCACCCTCACTCCCCCCATATCCCCCTCGCCCTCCCTCCTCCCTCCTACTCCTTCTCCTCCTCCTCTTCCTCCTCCTCCTCTTTCTCATGTTTCGCTCTTCTCCCTCATCCTTCTTTGCCTCCTCTTCCTCTCTTCTCTTCCCTTCCATGGGAGAGCAGCGAGACAGAAGGGGGAGGAAGGGGAGGGGTGGGTGGGTTGTGTGTGCAAAGTCAGAGCCTTAAATCTGTCATCAACCTCGCCCTTTTCTTGGTCTGATCATTCGGAAAACGTCCTTTCTCTCCGCTTCTGCCCCTCGGTGCGCGGTTCGCGTTCCCCTCTCGCTTTTATCCTTCGCCCCCCTTTTCTATCCTTAGCCACTCCCTGCCCCCTTTCTCCGTTATCCGGTTGACCCCATAGTTGGCCCTCAAGGCTTTTGTAGCAGACCTCCCCTCCTCTCATCTTCGCCGTCCCTCCCCTGCGTGACTGTCCAGACCGTTGCGGCACATGCACGAACAAAAACACACAACAATTATGTTATGTCATGTTCTGCTCTGGTATGTTATGGAAAACGTTGGTGTCCTCTATTTGTCATGATATTGGTATTGTAGTTGCCTCCGGCCAGTGCCGCCGATCCGGGGTGCTAACGATTCTGCTTGCAACGGATGACCTTTTATGTTTAAAAGTAGAGCACTCGCTCGAGACATCCTCATGAGATAGAGATGTTGAACTCGCATGGGCAACCTTCGGATGTTCGGGAGTGACGATCCCGCGTGAACAGCCACACTCATGGGATGTCCCCTCCCACCTTCCGGGCCTGAATGGCGTCAGCCATGGCGTCAGCCCCCGCCCCCCCCCCCGACTCCCTCGTCCCGGACGTGGCTGGCGTCAGCCATGGCGTCGGCCTTTCCCCCCCCCTCTCCTCTCCCGGGCCTGAATGGCGTTAGCCATGGCGTCAGCCCCCCTCCCCCCTCCCCCAAGATCCCCTCCCGGGCCTGAATGGCGTCAGCCATGGCGTCAGCTCCCTCCCCCCCCCTCCCCCCGACTTCCTCCTCCCGGGCCTGAATGGCGTTAGCCATGGCGTTCCCCCCCTCCCCCCTCCTCCCCATGGCGTTCCCCCCCCCTCTCCTCCCTCCCGGGCCTGAATGGCGTCAGCCCCCCCCCCCTCCTTCCCTGGCCTGACTGGCGTCAGACCTCACTCCCCCCGACAGAGCGAAGCCCCCCCTCCCCTCCCTCCCTCCCGTGCCTGAATGGCGTCATCTCCCCCTCCTCCCTCCCGGGCCTGAATGGCGTCACCCCTCCCCCCCTCCTCCCTCCTGGGCCTGAATGCCGTCAGCCCCCCCCCCCTCCTCCCTCCCAGGCCTGAATGGCGTCAGCCCCCCCCACCCCCCCTCCCTCCCCGGCCTGACTGGCGTCAGCCCCCCCACACCCTCCCCGACAGAGCGATCCCCCCCCCCCTCCTCCCTCCCGTGCCTGAATGGCGTCAGCTTCCCCCCCCCTCCCGGGCGTGAATGCGGTCAGCCCCCCCCCCACCCCGACAGAGCGAAGCCCCCTCCCGGGCCTGAATGGCGGCCCCCCCTCCTCCCTCCCTGGCCTGAATGGCGTCAGCCCCTCCCCCCCCCTACAGAGCGAAGCCCCCCCCCCACCCCTCCTCCCTCCCAGGCCTGAATGGCGTCAGCCCCCCCCCCCCTCTCCTCCCTCCTGGGCCTGAATGGTTTCAGCCCCCCCCCCCTCTCCTCCCTCCCGGGCCTGAATGGCGTCAGCCCCTCTCCCTCCCTCCTCCTTCCCGTGCCTGAGTGGCGTCAGCCCCCTCCCCCTCCTCTTCCCTCCCAGGCCTGAATGGCGTCAGCACCATGATATTGATATGTTATGTACTGCAAAGTTATGTCATGCACTTGTTATGCTCTTGTGTCATACTGTGTTCTGTCGTGTTAGTCGAGGGCGCGAGGCGGGACACCCGGGATTCCCGGGACAACTTGGGGTCTGGCGTCCGCGGTATGCAGGGTGTGTTTTGTTGTGTTTGTCAAGGGCGTGAGGCGGGATAACCGGGACGCTCGGGGCAACTCGGGGTCTGGCGGCCGCGGTATGCAGGGTGTGTTCTGTCGTGTTTGTCGAGGGCGCGAGGCGGGATAACCGGGACATTCGTGACAACTTGGGGTCTGGCGGCCGCGGTATGCAGGGTGTGTTCTGTCGTGTTTGTCGAGGGCGTGAGGCGGGGTAACTTGGACACTCGGGACAACTTGGGGTCTGGCGGCCACGGTATGCAGGGTGGGAGTGGCCGGGAGGCGTTTTTTCCCACATCCAAAGTGGGGATCTTGTTTTCTCTGGACACCCGCGCAAGAACAGGAACCCACCATCATCATCATCATCATCATCATCATCATCATCATCATCATCATCATCATCATCATCATCATCATCATCATCATCATCATCATCATCACTCATTCCTCACTCACTCACCTCTTTTGTCTTCGTGCGCTCACTCACTCACTCACTCATTAGCTCACTCACTCACTCACTCACTCACTCACTCACTCACTCACTCACTCACTCACTGACTCATCAGCACTCACTTACTCACACGCTCATGAACTCTCATATGATGATGATGATGATGATGATGATGATGATGATGATGATGATGATGATGATGATGATGATGATGATGATGATGATGATGATGATGATGATGATGATGATGATGATGATGATGATGATGATGATGATGATGATGATGATGATGATGATGATGATGATGATGATGATGATGATGATGATGATGATGATGATGATGATGATGATGGTGATGATGATGATGATGATGATGATGATGATGATGAAGATGATGACACTGATGAGTGTGCGCGTGAGAGAGTGTGATGATGATCATCATCACCAGTCAGTCAGTCACTCACTCACTCACTCACTCACTGGCCTTGGGCCTCGTCTGTGAGTGAATTGCGAGGAAGTCTCAAGCGGGAGCCCCCTCCCTATGGGGCCCGCGGATCATGTGACTAATCCGAGCGGGTCATCCAATTCCTGTAATTGTCGCCACTTTTGGGCTCTCGCGCTGCCAGAACGCCATTCCCAGGCCACATTTGTGAGTGAATTGCGAGGAAGTCTCAAGCGGGAGCCCCCTCCCTATGGGGCCCGCGGATCATGTTAGTAATCCGAGCGGGTCATCCAATTCCTGTAATTGTCGCCACTTTCGGGCTCTCGCGCTGCCAGAACGCCATTCCCAGGCCACATTTTCAATGCCCGGAGCCAACTATAGGTCACTTCGTGTTCTCCGTGCTCCCAGAACACCATTCCCGGGCCACATTTTGAATGCCCGGAACCAACTGTAGGCCACTTCGTGTTCTTCGTGTTCCCAGAACACCACTCCCGGGCCACTTTCTGAATGTCCGGAGCCAAAACAGGAGGGCGAGGTCGGGGGCAAGGTAGGGGGGAGGGCCCGCGCCAGGGCGAGAAGAAATATACGCAGAAGAGACAGCCAGGACGCCTCACCAACCACGAGGACGACGGTGAAGGCTTTTTCCAGATTCGCCAAGAGGATTCTCATGCGGGGTCCTTCCGTCGGAGTAGTTTTGTTTGTTTTGTTTGTTCGTTTTCTTTCTTAATACAATCAAGCGACCCCAACCTGTCCGGTGTAAACAGCATAAAGATCACCTGAACACATCCGACAAAGCACAAAGCACACAACACACTACTGTACGGAACATTACAAACACAAGCAAACACACACACACACGCACGCAAACATGACTAAACTATGGCTCTGATTTTGCACACCTAAGGTGGAGGACGGATAGAGGAGTAAGAGGACGCGGGGGGAGCAGCAGGAGGAGAAGGATGAGTAGAAGGATGAGCAGGATAAGGAGGAGGAGGAGGAGGAGGAGGAGGAGGAGGAGGAGAAGGAGGAGGAGGAGGAGGAGGAGGAGAAGAAGGAGGATAAGGAGGAGTAGGGGGTGAGAGTGGGCCGGAAGTGAGGAGGAATAGTAGGATGAGGAGGCGGAGGAGGAGGAGGAGGAGGGCCTGAAGGGAGGAGGAGGAGGAGGAGGGCCTGAAGGGAGGGGGAGGAGGAGGAGGAGGAGGAGGAGGAGGAGGAGGAGGAGGAGGAGGAGGAGGAGGAGGAGGAGGAGGAGGAGGAGGAGGAGGTGTGTCGTATGAGGAGGCCCTGCTTTCTCTGACCCCTCTCCCGACGGGGTGCCCTCTCCCGCAGGAGCAGCAGGTGCTCGCCAGCTCCCTGGCGATCGGGCGCGGGCTCTGCTGAGAGTAGACCGCCAGGGGGCCTCTCCTGGTGCTGCTTCGGGGCTCAAGATCGGCGGCGGGCGACGGGGGGAAATCAGAAGGAGAAGAAGGCCCTCTCAGAGGACTTCTCAGAAGCGCTCGCGTCTTCCGAGAGGTGTTCTGTGTCTTCGTGGAAGGCTCAGGAAGCTTCTCAGGAGGCCGGCGGACTTCCGAGCCTTCTGGGAAGGCCCGCCCCTCCTCGCTTCCCCCCCTCGCTCGCCGCCGACCCAAGAGACGGGGGTCAATGCAAACGAGGGTCAGCCAGAGCGCCGGATCTTGCTGCAGGATCCTGCAGAGCCAGGGTGCAGGATCATGCATTATCTCTTGCAGGATCTTGCGGGATCCTGCAACGCCTGATCGAACCAGGTTTGGATTGACCCGGGTCAGTAGTTCCCCGATTGCTGCTGCGTCTCCTCCCGTTGGCATCGCAGGGACGTGTGCATTCTTTTCGAAGAGGCCAGCGCCAGGAAAATCTGGACCAGCTTGGAGCACCCTGGATCATCTTGAGAACAAACGTGCATGACACCGAGCAAGGCATGGGTAGTGGACGTCCGGGCGATGGGGCGCCACTCTGCCTGCAGCGCCAGTTCGCCCGCATGCGAAGCCGCGTGCAGACGATCAAGCAGCATGTCCGGATGAGCAGCAGGACGAGATCTCTTTCTAGCTTCACCCACCTCACACCACCCAGACAGGGAAATTCAAGCATGATGTGAGGATGGCAGAGCGCACCAGGCGAGGAGGAAGAGCGAGAATGGACGGGGACAGTGTCGGAGTACTCCCTGCTTCCTCCCCTCTGCTCGCATCCCGTGTCTCTTTTCCTCATGGCTCATGGTTCGTCGCTCCTCACTCCATCGTCCTCCATTATTGCGAAGGCTTGGTGACCAGTGCCGCCCACAATGAAGGGGAACGGCGACAACGGCGGCGGTGGCAACGACGACGACGACGACGCCGACGCCGACGCTGACGTGGGTCAGAGTCCTCATGGATGCTTCGTGGGGTCTCTTCTGAGCGCTCTCGGGGGCCTCTGTGGGACAGTTTAGGGGCCTCTTGGGAGCCTCTTGGGGGCGTCTCGGGGCTTCCTCTTGGGGGCCTCCTGGGGCCTTGGGGGCTTCTCGAGGGCCTCCTGGTTATCCCGGGGGCCTCCCCGGGCCGAGGGCTCGAACTGCCAGGTCTGGTCCCTCGTCTGGGCACCCTCTTGGAGCCGTCTTGGTGGCCTCTTGGGCCGTCTTGGAGGCGTCCTGGGCCGTCTTGGGGCCCTCTGTTTGGGACCCTCCTGGAGCCCTCTTGGGCCGTTCTGGGGGGCCTCTTGGGCCGCCTTGGATCGTCGGGAAGCGGAAGAGGCGAGAACGCCGAAATGCTTCAAAAACCCATGGGAAACGAGTGATGTTTCCTCTTGGGGCCGTCCTGGGAGTGCTCCTGGAGGCCTCTTGGGGCGTCTTCCAGGGCTCTTGGCCTCCAGACGTCTTGGACAGATTGTTCAGCGATTCGGGGCCCTCTTGGACCGTCTTGGGGCAATTCGGGCCCGTCTTTGCATATTTTTTCGGACCCGGGACCCTCCGGGGGTAGTCGTATCTGACCCGTGACCCCCCCTGGGACCCCTCCCGGGACCCCCCCCCTGGGACCCACCCCCCTCTTGGCGGCGTAGGGATCAAAGGGAAGGGGCTTCCCTTCAAGTCAATTACGACGTTGCTCACTTTCGCTTTGGCTGGCGCGCTTGAGGAGAAGGGCCTAGGGAAGGGGGGGGGGAGCGGCGACGGGCCCAGCGCTTGAGGAGGGCCCAGGGAAAGGGGGGGGAGCGGCGACAGGCCCAGGGAAAGGGGGGGCGCAGGGAAAGGGGACGACAGACGACGACTAACGAACGACAGAGACGACGACTCGAACGGACAAGTCCCTCACCCACGTCGACAGTGTCGGCGGATTCTTCCATCCCCTCCCCCGGTGGCGCTGAGGATCAGCACGGGGCCGGGAGGTGAGGAGGGGCGGGCCTTCTCAGAAGGCTCGGAAGTCTCCCGGCATTCTGAGAAGTTGTCGAAACTTGCTCCGAAGACAGAAATCTTCTCAGAAGGCCTTCTGATAACGTTTTCTCCTTTTCACTTCCCCCCTCGCCCGCCGCCGAAAACACCCATGCCTGGGCATCGCTCGGACGTTTTTTTTGTTTTTTGTACAAAAAATGTATAAACAAAAACAAAACAAACAAACGAACAAACAACATGTTTTTTTCCTCTCGGCGAGGACCATCGAGGAGCATAGTTACTGGATCATCGGGCAAAGAACACATGCACGAAACCGACACAGGCACGGGGAACGCGACGTCCGAGCGATGGCGAGATACCCATATGGGGGAACGGAGGGGGCTATGGGTGCGTGTTGTCGGATGGGGTTCCCCGCTCGAGCGGGAGCGTTCCCCGGGGTTCGACAACCCGCACCAATACAACTAGCTAGTCCCCCTTCCCCCCGACCCCTCTGTGGGTATGTGTGTGTATGCGTGTTTGTTTGCTTGTTTGCTTGTTTGCTTGTTTGCTTGTTTGCTTGTTTGCTTGTTTGCTTGTTTGTGTGTGTGCTGTTCGTTCGTCAGAGAGGGCGCGGCACCAAGGTGGAGGGACTCCCTGACCCAGACCAGGGAGGAGAGGACGATCTCGGCCGGGCTAGGGTTTTTCCTCGAGGGGGAGAAGATCAGATCTTGGGGTGCAGCGCCTTGGAGGTTTCATTCGGAATCGGCGCTGGTACGTGCGTTGTCGAAACTGGCCTGATCTCGAATAATCTTGCTTGGCTCCGCCTAATGTGTGTTTCCTTAATCCCAGCCTTGAATCCATCCTGATTCGGCTTAGTGGCATCTCAATCGGGCTGAATCGCCCTCCATCATTCTTGGAATGGCCTCCGAGAAAGAGGACCTCATATGAGTGGTCTCCAAGGAGTGGCCTCCTAGGAGAGGCTTGATCGAAGACCTCCTCGGAGTGGCCTCCCCAAAGATCTCTAACCAACCCTGGGGAACTCCCTCGCGCTTGGCGTGGAGACTATTTTTGTGAAACGGGCGTTGCCTGGGTCAAACCCTTCCCCCCCAAGATAAACTGTAGCGATCGTGCGTCGGGGGCGCGGCGTGGACCACACCCCCATGCTGGTGCTCGAGCGCACACGACGGCTATGGCTATCGCAGCGCGTCCCCGCCCCGACGTGCGGCCCAGATCCCCACCCTCTCCCCCCCTGTGATGGGCCTGTTTCCCACGAGGGAGAGGTGGGGGTGGAGGAGGAGGAGGAGGAGGAGGAGGAGGAGGAGGAGGAGGAGGAGGAGGAGGAGGAGGAGGAGGACCCCCTCCCTCTCCAACTTATGGTGGTGGTGGAAAATCGGCCCATCACCCTGGGTAACCCTGGGAAGCAATCAGTGCCCCCCCCGAGCGATTTCCCTTTGGTATTCTCATGGCCTCTCGACGTTTGGCCAGGTCCCAGGCAAATGGCGAACCTGATTGTTTGTGCTGTTTTATCGATGTGCTAACGATCTCGCCGAAGGAGGACCTGCGACAACAATTATCATGTTGTCCTTGCTCCGCCATCATTTCGGTATGCCCCTCACGAGGATCGTGCCCCCCCCAAAAAAAAAGCTGCGGAAGTTCAGTGTGTTTGGATCTGGTGGTACCGTGTGCTTCCGTGGGTTAACGACCGTTCCCGGAAGTAACATACACAAATCTTGTGGTGAGGGCTCCCTGCCCCCTGAGCGGCCGGAGTGCGCAGGGGCTGGCCTCTCAAAAAGGGTCACCCCTGACGAATTCGCGGGCGGCGCGGAGCCGAGGTACGCGGCGCTCGCCTGACGGCCAGCCGAAAATCAGCGCATCCACTCCGGAGGACGCGTATGGGGTTGCGATGAATGGGGTTCGGCAGCGAGGGCTGCCAAAACGGCGCCCTTTAGAGCTCCTGAAGGGGCCCCTTCGGGTCCAGAAGGAGGAGGAGGAGGAGGAGGAGGAGGAGGAGGAGGAGGAGGAGGAGGAGGAGCTCAGGAGCTCAGGAGCCTCAGAGAGCCGTCCGACGACCGAACAGCACCCGGAGAAACGGGCGGCCTCGTCGCCGCCCAGCGCCCGGCCGCAGGGGGGGCCGGGAGGCGACGAGCCCGTCCAGCGGGCGGACCTCCGCAGAGGCCCATACGGAAGCCGACGGGCAGCGCGAGGAGCGCCGCCGAGGACCGCCAGCGGGTGCCCGCCGAGGTCGAACACCGCGCTGCGCGAGGGGCTGCCGCCCGTGGCGGCCTCCGCCTCGCGCCGCCCCGGAGCCCCAGGCGGCCGCGGCCACGGCCGCCGCCACGGCCTCCTGGATTGCCGCCGGGCCCGTCGCGTCAGCGAAGCCCGCGGGGGCACGCGCGCCCGCCTCCGCGAGCACCCGCGCCTCCGACGGCGCCCCCGCCTCCAGCCGAGCAGCAGCCGCGCCAACAGGCGCCGCGGGCACCTCCGGGCCGGCTGCCTCCGCGGCACGGGGGGCTGGGCGCCTCGCAGCGTCGGCCCACTCGTCGTCGACGATGTCGCCCCCCTCGGCGGCGGCGGCGCCCGCAGCACCGCCCTCCGCCGCAGCGGCGTGCACCGTCTCCGCCTCCACCTCCACGGCACCGGTACCCACCGCCGCCTTCCTCGCCGCGCGGCGCTGGCGGCGCCGCCGACGCTTCGCGGCTCGCGCCGCAGGGTCAGCGGCCGCGGCACCAGCGCGGCCATGACGAGGACCAGGAGGTACGTCGGGAGGTAGATCACCAGCGGCAGCGTCGCGCGGCGGCAGCGTCGCGCGGCGGCAGCACTGGCGCCTCGACACGCTGCGCGAACAGCGCGGCCGAGACGGCGGAGCGTGCAACCGCTGCGACGGTGCGGCACGGGGCGCCTCCCAGGACGGCGCCGCGCACGGCCGCCTCCACGAGCGTGGCGACGGCGGACGGCGGCGCGCGAGCCCTCTAGGCGCAGCCATCCCGCGGCGGAGCGGCGCGCGATGGCGTCTTGCGAACGCTTGAGCCAA